CCTGCTGAAGTCTGTTCAGTGGGGCTTACTACCAGAAAACTGTGTTTAGGATTGAACTGTCTATTACTTAATTTGACATGTTAGTTCCTTAGCTTCTGCATAGATTCCATCTCTGATTTCTCTGTTTTCCTTTCCATAACTCTTCATATTCTTTTGGTTCATCACTCCTTGGCATGCTTGATGTTTTTTTCTCTGATTTGCACCTTTGTGTTTTTTTTATATTGTTCCTTCCTTATGGAAATCTTTAATGGCCAGCAGTCATTCCATTCACATTCATTCTATTTTTTAAAAAAGGTCATAGCACTTCTTTATTTCAGCTAGGCTGTATCTAATTGTGTTTCGTTTTCATGTTTTAATTTCACTTTTAGTTTTTCAGAATCTCAGTGTCTTAACTGTACCCAGTGCATGCTTTATATAGCACGTTTTAACATGATTTATAAATGAATACTATGTAAAACTTTTACCCTGTTATTTATTTTGAAGAGATTTTCAGAATGTGTGACTTGTGTTTTTTAACAGGTAGGAAATATTTTACCACAAGACAAGTGTGCTTTATTATTTGAAAAACTGAAGATGAAAGTCATCAAACAATGTACTTGTAAACAGAGTTACACCCTTCTAAGTCCATTAACTGCAGTGGGTTTTAAAAGGGTGTAAATCTGTTTAGGATTGCATTGGATGTCAACTGAAACACTTTTTGTGTGCATATTTCCCTTAGGGCTACATTCCCTTTCATTTATGTCACACAAGTGATGCTAACAAAAACATGTCACATACAGAAAGTTCAGCACTGTATACATAGTGCTGCACTCGAGCAGTTTGTCTCCTCAGGGGCTGAAAAAGGGGCAGCAGTAAGGAGGGATGTACCTCATACTATAAATAAAATGTATTAATTTACTTCATTTATAGCCTGCCTCTCTTGCTGAGACTCCGGAGGTGTTAAAGTCATTAGATACGAGGGCCGGATCTGACATAAATGTCACGTTGTTGGGCCGGGCTGTGTGTGCCATAAAATGTAATGCCAGGGCCCTGACCTGGATAGCCCAGGCAAGTTTGGTGTAGTGGTGTAGTTAGCCAGTTTGGTGTAGTGGTTAAGTGTGCGGACTCTAATCTGGGAGAACCGGGTTTGAGTCCCCACTCCTCCACTTGCACCTGCTGATGTGACCTTCGGTCAGTCACAAGCTCTGGCACAGCTGTCCTTGAAAAAGAGCAGTTTGTGTCAGAGTTCTCTCAGCCCCACCCACCTCACAGGGTGTCTGTTGTGGGGAGGGGAAGGGAAAGGAG